TATATATATAAATAAATGTTCAGGAAGCTTCGATTCACCTTGAAGAAGGCTGCTGGTAACAAATGATCATTCATCACTAAAGCTGGAAATCTGCAGGTGACAGCTCTCCTGATGAGGTCTAGATAAGCACAGATTGTGATTTACCATTAGGTCACAATCAAGCTTGCCCGTGTGACAGGAATTAATAATATTTATGAATTAATAATGAAGTCACGGCTGATTTACAGAGTTTGCGAACGTGCGTGTTACACACTTTTTGAGGCACTCATTTGGAGCCGGCTGAAAGCTGCGGGCGGGAAATAGACTCAGAGGGAAAGATGAACAGCTGTAAGAAACAAACAGCCTCGGCTCCGGTTAGTGTTTTGTCTAAGCTCAGATTACTTTCATTACGTGTGAATCTCATCACAAACAGTTTGGAAGATGTGCTTCCAGAAACCTAAGCATGTCAACTGTGTTTTTGGACTCACTGATGCTAAAAAAAAATCGAAAGAAAAAAAAAAGAAGTGTATGGATTTTTTTATTATTATTATTTATTTGTTTTCTGAGGTTGAAGGGCTCAGAGTACCACTCGTTTGGACTGGGGTTTGTTTAGGCAGCGTGACAGCTTGAAAGCCTGAAAGCAGGTGTCTTAACGCCAGGAGAATTGAGAGCTGCTACCCTGAACTTCTCTAAACAGAGTAACACAGCGCAGACGGGCCTCATGTTTAATCAGCAAAACAAATTGCGAAACCTCTTTGTTATGCTGCAAAACTGCCAAGTAAACAGTTATTCTGAATTACCTGCACCAATAGATGCATCAACACATCCATGTCAACAGAAAGAAGTCAATCCTATTTTAAATCAATAAACATTTCAATTAGTTGAATGCCTGCCTGTCTCTTATTGTAAATTTTTTGTGGTAGACATCGGGATTTGTATTTAAAATAAAGAATTAATATTGTTCAGTGGAAATCAAAGTCAGACAAATTGTATAATTTTGTATTAGTTAATGGCCCAGTTTCTGCATATCACCCACCGCATTTCATAACAGAGTTTTAGACAAACAATGAGAGACATTGTAGCCATTTTGGTTAACTCTTAAAATTAACGATAAGCTCGATATTGTGCTACATTGCAAGAAGTCAGGCTCAGAGTAAAAAGAGTTAAAAAGGACTATCAGCTACTACCACATACAATTTTAGGAATATCTAACTGAGTTATACTCATTTTGGTGTTGGTAATGTTGATTAGCTGTGGTAGCCATCTTGAATTGGACTGACTCCAAAAGTTATTGAGATATAGATGTACATCAAGTGATGATTTCCTGAATGTTTGATGAAAATTCATGTGTTTCATGAGATATTTTGCAAACAAACACAGCACATGCTTTGAGACATGGGCAAAAACACCTTTCACCTTTTGGCTGTAGCCTATAATTAAGAATGCACAGGGAAAATAAAAATTCATTGGAGTTCTTCAGCACAATCAGAGATAACCAACCACTTTAAAGAGCATCATTATTTTTCTTTAGCGCACTGCAGTTTTATTTGTTTACTCCACAAAGTCGTACTCTTTCACATCAGCGGACCCAAAGCCTGTGTCCCTGTCACTGTCGATGAGAATTTAAGTGTTAAAAAACAAATGAAAAAAGGGTTTGGACCAAAAAAATGAATTAAAAAAGGGAAGAAACAAAAGAAGCAGCGACATGGCTCGTAAAACAGAGGAGCAACATTCCTCTGAACAACAGGCTTATGGTGAATAATTCAGCGAGTATAAGAGTCCATTTGAGAGCAGCTTCTCTAATATTCATGTGACATGATAGCCAAGACAGGAACTCAGCCTCTCACTGGCACAATGTTATTCATACTGTGAGGTGCTAAAGCGTTTTGTAATTCATAGCTTTGGTTTTAAGCCAACCAACGACATATTCTAGACCAACTAGGAGCCTCGATAGCATTTCAATAATTTAAAACCTGTTCTCAAATTTTAAACAAAAGTGAATCAGATTTTCAGGGTCAACCTAAAAAATAATGAATTCCCAAAAACAACTTTTACCCAAAACCAAAAACTCTTAACTTGTAGTCAGAATGAAAATGACAAGAGCCCCTAAAGTATTCCACAAATTATTTATCAACTTCCTTGGTTGTACTGTGTAACAAATGAAAACAAATTTCTAATTCTATCTGAATTAATGTTTCAAGGCATAAAGCTCTCAATACAGATGGTGTTGGGTGTTTTAAATCAAATTAGCTGGTTTTCGATCCTGTTAGAAGTTTTTGGCTTTATTTTCATTTGTTGCTAAGAGAAAGACAAAGATCCTTTTCACTCTGAAATTGGTCTTTCTGGAAAAAAAACCCCACACAGAACAATAAAAGAGTAAATTACTAAGAGATGTGTTTTTGCTGCCCTTGGGTCAAAATGACCCATGAGGCCCCAGTGTTAGGCCTCATGGGTCATTTTTACCCAAGAACAGCTGGAAGGCTACATCAACCAATCCTATTTTATCTTCAGCGAGTGGGCAAGCAACAAACATAAATGCGCACGATTCAAAATGTATCTATGCAGTCAGTTATACATATATAAAAACGCATGACTAAACAAATTTTTATTTCTATCTAATTTAAAACCATTCATTGACTTCCATTCATTTCTAGTCATTTCTATAACCTAACCCGACTCCATCATGCACTTCCCATAGATAGGACCCAGTGACCCAGGACTGGACCTGATCTAAGCGAGCGTGCACTTAAGAGATTTACCAACTCTGTGGATACATCGGGCGGCAGGTGGGACCCTCTGAGTAAATATTCCCCTAACCTGACCCCTTACCCTTTATCTACAACCCCCTCATACATACCTAGCCCTAAACATAAACTCAATTCAATTAAATTAAATTCTGTTCAGTCTACTTATATAGCGCTGACAAATATTTGTCAAATTGGCACTGTACAAAAAAAAAAACATATTAACACCTTAGTCCTAAACCTAATCGCCAACCCAAAGATTGAGTTCCACCATATTAGGACCAGTCTTTGGTCCCCTCAAGGACAATTGGTCCTTTACAAGTAAGGTGTGTATACCAGCACTCATCACAATGATGTTAGGTACCGTATGCCATTTTTATTGGTTTTGTTTTGTTTCCCAACACTTTTAACTAAGTTTAGTTTTTTTCAACATGTCATTGCTTATGTAATTGTGCAGCTATGTTGAATCGCTGAGTGATACAACAATGTCAAAATGGGTTAGCCCCAGTATGAGCTCCAGTCTACAGAGACTTACAGCTGATGACCTAAACCCATTACAGTCATCTTTAAATTAAATTGCTGTAGAGGCTGCCTTAAAATGCTTCTACAGAAAAAAGATCAGAATAGTTATTTTATCTGAGAATTTTGTCATCATATAAAGCTAAAGATGATGGACTCATCACTGTTAAAAAACAGGTAGAACTTGTTGCTGTAGAAATAATTGCTGCTAAACCTCCTGAAAGTCCTGCCTCTCAGCTTTGATGCTATAATATTTCAAGAAAAATAGAACACAAAAATTGATCCTCACAATCAGCAGAGCCCTTGAGCAGGGGGTGGAGCAGGCCTCGAGGTGATCCATGGTGTAAATTCAACCTATGGGATAGATCGAAAACAGCTTTAAAACACAGCCTGGTCAGTTTTTGTTTTGTTTTTTCAACTTGATTTTGGGGCTGGAGCTCCCACCGACTGCGTCATTCATTGTGCTACTATTTACCAGTGATATTTTAAACTTCAGACTAATCCAGACTCCTCCTGCCTTTTATATCTCGTGTCTTCCTGCCTGCACATGGTACTGTTTTTGTCATTAAGCTGTTTTCCCAATTAGACCTACCTCCACCCTCTCTTTAGAACTCAATCTGGGCTGAGGGTCAGGCCAACCTGAGCGTGCAGAAGGTGAAGAGTTTAGATGCTTTTTCATGCAAAAATAACAGAGGTTGCTGTACAGAACGGGAACTCAATTTATTCTGTTTGTTGTGAAACAGTTGCTTTTACCAGCTGCAGTCTAAGTGGGTGGATTAGGAGTCAGCTCCACAAATGAGAGACCGACTAAAGAGGCAGCAGAATGACATTAAAGCGGAAACCTGGCAAATTATTGTGTAAGCAGGAGCCAGCTTGGCAGACAAATAAAACAAAATAATCATTATCATTAAAATAAAATCAGAGGAGGACATGAGGTTTATAAGTTTTAATAAAAACTACTGAAAAGACAAAAACAGATTCAAAAATTTCTAAGCTAGTGTTTATTTAACCACATAAAATACTTAATAGTTAACAAGATTTCAACTCTGTGAAAAGACGTGTGATTCAAACTGTAACTTCTAATTTTCCTAAGAGCTTTTTACTCATAGGAGCTGCTAAAACCTCCCTAAAAAGAAATGTGTCATTTTTAAAACAAAAGAAACATTTACGTCAACTCTAGAGACCCAGGTGGCCTTCAACAGCTCATACACATCAGCATGTACTAATTGACCATTATCCTATTTGACATGTACGTTCAGTAGCTGAAACGTAAAGGTATGTAAAATTAAACCTGCCTGGACAAAAAGTACCAGTATGAATTCTTTATATTATAAAATACAAATGTCTAACAGTAATCTCTTAATGTAAAAGCTCATTAATCCGTGTGTGAGGTAATTAAAAAGGCACTAATCACCTTCTGTTCCCATCAGCCGGACCCTCTGGCCTGTTTGTAAAAAGCTCCAGGACAGTGAAGCCTCTCCCCAAAAACTGTTGGGAGCCGTCCAGTTTGGGTGACAGCGACACCAGCTCCAAAATAAGCAGGGTGCTGGGTATCAGCAAAGACGTATGGAAGTACAGGACCTGTAAACATACACACAGAAAGCAAACCTTCATTATGTACGACTGATTTACAAAGAATCCACAGATGCTTTTTTTTCTAACAGCACTGAAAAGAGAAAGAGCTGCAAGATCCGTGAGCCTAATTGTGGTAGTTATTTTAAATGAGGCACATAAACTCACGATTTAATCTAATCTCAAATTGCAGAATCTGCAGGTAAAAAAACACATCAAAATAAATTGTAGTTACACAGTTCAGACATAACAATTGTCAATCCAAAGAGCACAAATAGGTTCTATATGTGCTGAGGTTGATCATCCACCCAATTTGACAAAATGTTTCAGTTTAATCAGGAAAGGATGGAAAATGCAAATAAAAATACACACTTTTACATTTTTTTTAAATAAATGTAAGATATTTCATCATTTGTGTCTTCAACTTGGTTTCAGCCATAGTTATGCATCCATTCTTACATTTCAGGACAACACACACCAAAAAACAGCTTCCTATTAATCATTACAGGTTTTATTTGGTCCTTTTCTTTTTGTAAACTAGGGATGCGCGATGCATCGGTATTAATGTCGGTATCGGCCGATATGGGTCATTTTTAAGAATATCGGTATCAATCTGATATGTAAAACTGGGCCGATATTAACGCCCGATATTGATTTGCCACTTTTTAGCTTTGTGTTTCTGTTTTGGGAGGGGAAATGGTTGGTTGAGCTGCATCTGTTTGATCATAATAGTGATATTGATGCTGGGTAGCCAGGAATAACTGAAGTAGAGCCATGACAGACGTCTGGACGTTTATTTACCATATCAAACAATGTATAATATAATTTGCGTGTTTGTGTAATATCAGTAAATATCAGTTATCGGCCATAACAGCAATAATCATATCGGATTTCGATATCGGCTTAAATTTTCGTATCGGTGCATCACTACTATAAACATACTCTTAAAGGTGATTTTTTTCCCCATCATTCTCTTCAGAGTAACCTTTTCTTCCATCAGTAGCTCTGCTTTTGCAGCCAAACTTGTAAAAATGTAAATTATGTGTATTGTCTTGTAGGAAAAAAATGTATGGGCATACTTTACCTGGAAAAATATATTTCTAAGGGGAGCATATGTTATTCTAAAATTTCTAGATACTTTTCTGCATCATTGCTGTCATCACAGAAGTGTATACAGGCATTGCCAAAGGCACTGATACAACTTTGCGATGGTCCATCCCAGATGCCCACCAATCCCTGAGAGGGATAGAAAAATTATCTAAATGTTTGGGCTTTTATATATTACATTGTAGTTTCATGTTTAAAACTAAATAAGATGAGGAAAAAAATAAAGCTTAACGGTGTTATAAAAACCTCACAGGATGAATAGACCCTTTATGGAAAAACTATACTTTCTGTGTGAGACACATCATGATGCTAAAAGAACCAATATCAAGAGGAATTGCATGGCATATAATAATAATGACCAATAAACAGTGTGTTGAAAATCACATTAGGGAAATGACCTATAAACAAGTACAGATGGTGCACAGTCCCATGTCACCTAGTTTGGCTTGAGGCATCAACTGTTGCCATCACTGCAGTTATAGCGGTCCAGGGGTGTTGAAAATAACAACATAATACACAAGTAGCCTTTGGACAGTAATTCCTGAGAAACAATTAAAATAAATTGAAAGTTGCCATGGCTGCACAGGGGGTTTTACACCCCGAGGAAATTATTTGGGTCACTCTTATGTGCAAGACACACAACAGTTTTCGGTCTCCTGGTTGCAGAGTCCATTCGTTTTTTCAATACTTTTCCTGTGAAGTTAATTGACTGAAAACAGTTGTGTATGTTTGCGTGTCTTGCACATGGGAAAGCAAAATCATTTCGGCACAGTTGTTAGAACTGTTGCCTCGAAGTGAGAAGGTTGCAGGTTCACATTCATGCGTTTCTGTGTGGAGTTTGCATGTTCTCCTTGTGCACATGTGGGTTTTCTCTGGGTACTGGTGTCCCTTCCCACAAGCCAAAAATAAGCATGTTGAGTTTACTGGTAACTCTGGATTTTATGTTGTTGTTTTTATTTTATTTTATTTTATTTTTTATTTAGCATTGTTTTGTAAATTATGTTTCGTTTGAATATATTCTGAGGATATGTCAATGTAAATGGTAAATGGACTGTACTTATATGGTGCCTTTCGATCCATCCAGGACACTCAAAGCGCTTTACACTTACAGACATTCACCCATTCACACTCACATTCACACATTGATGATGGCAAACTACACTGTAGCCACAGCTGCCCTGGGGCACACTGACAGAGGTGGGGCTGCCATACACAGGCGCCACCGGACCCTCTGACCACAATCAGTCTGATCACCATCATCACCATCAGGATAAAAGGGACAGACATAATAAGATTTACTCTTCTGCTACCTTTCTTTTTATTTTATTTTGATTTGTGTATTTTCGTGGTTTATTTTTTGTCATTGTATATATTTATTTTTTAATGAAATGAATAAATTTTTTGAATTAAAAATTTTTGAATTAAAAAAAACTCTAAATTGACCCTCGGTGTGAGTGAAAGCATGAATGACAGCTTGTCTCATTATGTGTCCCTGTGATGGACTCGTGACCTGTCCAGGGTGTAAACCTGCCTACATATACACACACAAACATGTTTTAAATGCCACTTTTATTGCATTGGGGTAAATGTGCAGGACTATGTGGCCCTCTGGTAGTGTCAACTAAAAACTGTGGCCCCTTCCATCATTTAAGTTGCCCACCCCTGGCATAAGGTGTTAATGCTGATATGCTGTATTTGGGTTTCATCAAACCTGGTGCATTATGACCAAATATCTTCTCTTTGGTTATGTCCAAAGACAATGTTACAAATGTCTTATAGTTGGTCCAGTGCTGTTGAAACAATGTTTAGAATTCATGGATGAAATGACTAAGTTACATAAGTTACAGACAGAAGTATTAAGCCCTTTTATCAAACCATCTAATCAGAAATGGAAGGAAGTGTTTAGCCAAGTGTCATGTTTCTATTATTGCTGACTGAAGCTGATAAACACTCGTCATAATTAATGGAAAGACAGTCGATACGAAAATGAATGTGAATTCCCTCTTTACTGCTGAGAACAAAAGACAGATGTAGAAGGGTTTTGGAAGGTTTTTTGTATTCTGTGAAAGAGGCTTTAGAAACAGCTCCACTGCTTTCTGCTCATTGCTTCGAAAAGGATAAAAGACATTCATCTGCCGGCATCGTAAAGGTACATTGCACTCTGATTTACTGTTAATCCCGAGCATCCCAAAATTGTTTAACCATTAAGAGTTATTAAAGTGACAAGGAACATGAAAGAGGGAAAAGTTTAAGACCTTGGGTTTGTTTTTGTTCAGTATTAATTTCCCTTATTTCTATTTTTTTTTTTTTACAAAATCACTTTTAGAAAAACACAGTTTGTGAAGAAACCAAGTGGTTTTCAGATGAAGAAAAGAAACAAACAGTACAATGAACTGCAGAGCTTTTTTACCATCTAATGCATTGGTATTGCACTTTGTTCAATTTAATTATGTAAAATTACATTGTATTGCAGTGGGGGACGGATTATACTGCATGGAATATGTATCTATAATGTACAGAATTGTTGGCAGAACACCAAAACATGTATCGCATCTTACTAATGATCCGGCCCAAAGAAACCATTTTAATCTCTCATCCAAATTACTGTGCCACAGTTTGTTAAAGAGAGACATGAAGGCAGGCTTTCCCTAACTGATCTAGTGTTCTGTAGTAATCACAAGTCATATGAGAATTCTTCAGTACAGTTCTCAGATGTAGTTACTCTATCTGAACCACCACTTGAATGCTCTATCAGATGATTTTATTTTATATGTCTGTGGGCTTCCCTTATGTGGTTTTACTGATCTTTTAAAGCAAATTAAAATTAAATTTCATATCTGGTAGCAAAACAAAAGTAACTTTAACAGTAATTTAAAATAAGTTTGTTTTAATTTAAAGACAATGTTTGTTGTATGCAAATTTGTGAAATAATAAAGACTGATTTCATAAAGTTTACATGTCTAAATTTGAAACATTTGCTCTTACATTCATTTATAACAGTAATAAACAATGGATTTAGTTTGCTCACGTAAAGCTCAAAGTTGATGTTGTTTCACAACCAATTCAAACTCTGGTTTTTAACATGGCTATATAATAAGGAAGCGTTGTAAGATCTTGTTACTTGAATGCCATTAGAGCACTGGAAAATGTCATTTAGAAAAACAGCTTGCATCTGCAGCAGCGCCAGGCGCCACATATGTCTGGCCTAATGAGAGGTTATACTCTGCAGCGACTGTCAACAAAGCAGCATTTGATTCTTGCAGGGTAAATATCTAATCTCCATAAGTTAAGTAAAGAGGGAAGAACAGCGATACGGTGGCATTAAAATATCATCAGCGTGGAGGCATGCAGCTTGAAGTCACAGAGACTATCGACAATCAACCTCTCAGCAAATTCAAGGATGTTTTGCTGAGACCCATTTGTGGGTGACACAATACTGGCAAAAAATAAATATATGCTGTGAGACAAAGCAAACCGTACTGCTAAGAGTAATTTAACCTGAATTCTGAGTAGAACTAATATATTTTCTTGAGTCTTTTCACTGTTTTATTGTTCAAACTTAAAGTAAGCTTGAACCTGAGCTTGACAGAGCAGCAGTATAATTCTAGTAAAAAAAAGAAGAAGGATAAGTTGTAATAAACTGGAAGGTGTTTTTCAATTGCACGTGTAAAACAACTTTATGTGTTTCCTCGCAGAGTGCCATCCAAGTATAAAAGCTGAAGGTAAAACATACCACACCCTAGAGGAGGTCATTTAAAAGCTCGACAAGTGGGAAATTGGGCAAGAACGGAGGAGCAAACCATACAAAACAAAGAAGCTGCAGTTCTCCAAAGACAACTCCAGAGCAATGAGAATTTAATTTACATGGACCTGTTCGACCCCAGGAGGCTTAGCAAAAGAAA